CCGTGGTCGTGAGAAAGCTATGGAACAGGGTTACCCCCGTCGGCCTGACCTGAAGAGCTCCCCTAGAGAGAATGCAGACTCAGAGTGGCTCATCCACGGGAGGAGCTTTATGAAAGATGGGACACAAAAGGCAGGACGTGGTGGCCCAGGTGGTTTCCATCGCTCAAGGGGTGCAGGCTAAAGCTCTGCCCTCTGGCCGCTCTGCTCAGAGGGCCCCGTTAACTGCCCGGATTAACTGTCCTAACCGGGGCACTAGAGCCGGGGAAAGGAAAGCCGTCAATGCCTACACGCTCACGGGGCCATGTGGAGGGGGAGGGGAACGCTGACCTCAGGGAACAAACAGAGGAAGAATGAGGGAGAAATGATGTAGCCACTGGAGACTACACTCCTGCCTGTGGAAGCAGCAGGCATTCACCGCAGAAGCCATCAGAAGAGAGAAGCAGGAATATAAGAGGAAACAACGGGGCAGACAGGGCAGCAGCAGAGGGTGGGGACAGAGCTCTGATGCCACTCCTGCCCGGTCCCCCAGGGGTAACTCCCATCCGCCCCCCAAAGGAAAGGGAAAAGCCTTTGGGATGCGGCTATTTTAAAAGCCCAGGATACCCGGGGTGATGGTTCCCCCCGCCGGCCTCTGCACTGCAGGCCACCAGGGAAGCTGGCCCGAGCACACGTTATGGGCAGGAGGCCTGTATCAATGGCTCATCAAGTCCATGACTACCCCCAATCTCCGCCATCTCCTTAAACAGGGGGATGAAGCGTGCCCTATCTGCCTCCGGAATAAGCCCAACACTTACAGCCGCCACTGGGGTCAAGGCAGCGACCGCCACCCAATATGAAGGCACGTGTCCAGGTCAGGACTGGCCGGCTGGTTTTATAGTAACGCCCCAGGCACGAGGAAATTCCAGACTCCTGCCAGCTGTGACTGCCACCTTCCCCGGCCGGATCGAGGCGTTTCCCACCTGAACCAAGACTGCCCTGGAGGTCTCCTAGGCCCTGCTCAAGGAAATAATCCCTCGGTTTGGGCTCCCCAAGTCCATCCAGAGTGACAGTGTGCCTGCCTTTGTTTCCCAAATTACTAAGGGACTCTCTAGAACTCTGGGAATTACATGGGGTTTATACTCCACTTGGACACCAGAGTCCTCAGGAAAAGTAGAACAAATCAAACCCTCAAAAGAAACTTAGAGGGCTTCCCTGGTGGCGCAGTGGTTGAGAGTCTGCCTGCCGATGCAGGGGACGCGGGTTCGTGCCCTGGTCCAGGAAGATCCCACGTGCCGCGGAGCGGCTGGGCCCGTGAGCCATGGCCGCTGAGCCTGTGCGTCCGGAGCCTGTGCTCCGCAACGGTAGAGCCCACAACAGTGAGAGGCCCGCGTACCGCAAAAAAAAAAAAAAAAAACTTAGAGAAACTAGGCTCAGACACTTATCAACCCTGGATGTCCCTTCTCCCCACAGCACCTTTCAGAACGCAAATAGCGGACTTCCCTGGTGGCGCAGTGGTTAAGAACCCGCCTGCCAATGCAGGGGACACGGGTTTGAGCCCTGGTCTGGGAAGATCCCACATGCCGCGGAGCAACTAAGCCCGTGCGCCACAACTACTGAGCCCGCGCTCTAGAGCCCAAGAGCCACAACTACTGAGCCCACGTGCCACAACTACTGAGCCCACGTGCCACAACTACTGAAGCCTGCGCACCTAGAGCTTGTGCTCTGCAACAAGAGAAGCCACTGCAGTGAGAAGCCCGCGCACCGCAACAAAGAGCAGCCCCTGCTCGCCAGAACTAAAGAAAGCCTGCGCGCAGCAACGAAGACCCAACGCAGCCCAAAATAAATAAATTTATAGAATTATTAAAAAACAAAAAGAGAATGCAAATAGCCCCCAAAGGAAAGCTCAGGTTGAGTCCGTATGAGCTCATGTACTGGAGGCCCATTCCTGAAGGACCTGGCTCCAAGACCAACCTGAGGGATATGGAGCGACTGAAATACGCCTTGCAGAAAGGGGAAATAAGCAAAGCTTTACACACCTACAGGGACACGGAACTGCCTTCCCTTTCTGACATCACTTTCCACCGTTTCTCCCCTGGGGACTGGGTTTATTTGAGAACCCAGAAGGCTGGAAAACCACAGGAGCAGTTAGACCCCAAGTGGACAGGACCTTAGCTAGTGATCTTGACCACTCAGACTGCCTGACAATTACACGGCACAGCCCCGTGGACCCACCATACCAGAGTGAAGGCAGCACCCATACCTGAGGAAGAAGTTACTGAGCCACCCACTGCATACACCTGTGAACCTGTTATAGCCCTTAAGTTACTTTTCAAAAGGAAGAACTTACTGATAGATAAGTAACGTGGTGGACAGGCTTAGCAGTTGGCTAAGCCTGTCCCTTATAACTGTCCACATGAAATGAGAGCTTAACACGATAGTCCATTTCTCGGGGATTACAGCATGTGGACAGACTCTATCCCAGTGCTGGTCTGTCACCCCCACCCACAAAGTGATGCCTGTGGATTAAAGGTGTTGCATTTTGCCCCTAAGAATGACAGCACCACTCTCACCTTGGCTCACGGACCTGCTAGACCTACCCCTCCTGAACGCAGCTTTCCTGCGTGGATCTCATCCCTGAAATCAACATCTCCAGCAAATACAAGGCACTCACTCTTAAAGTGCGGTCCTGCGGCCACTGCCCATGTCAGCAGCCCCCACCAAAGGGAGAAGCTTGCAGTAATGCCCTGGGGCTGCTCCGGACTCTGAGCACGGCTTCTTCCATTACCCCACAATTTCAGTGCCCCGGGATTGACCCCTATGGAAATCTCACCCACTGGTACCCTCTGCACCCACTCAACGAATACACACAGGGACCAGACGGGAGATGCGCTTATGGGGGAGGGAAGATGCCAGTTGTCTGGGGTTTAGTGTGGGGCCCTGCTGAGGCCTGGGGAAAAGCCACTAGTCAAGAACCCCCCAATGACCCCTGCTACGCAGGTGGGCCTCTCCCCTCACACTGCAAGGGAACCCCCTCTTGGGCTAGCCACTTAGGGAGGTGGTTCAATTCCTCAGAAGTGTGCTAGGCATGCACTCCCCCTGGGTACCTGGTTCCTTTGTGGCCCGAGAATAAACCAATTGCCCCATCAGAACAACCCCAACTCCTTCCCTTCTCTGGGGTGGGCTCTAGCCTCTCCTTGCTTAAATAATGCCCAATTTATGAAACAATGCACACTAGGCCGGCCAAGTTCTAGGAACCTAGGTATAACCATTCATAACATCGGTATCACCTAGCCCTGAGATCAAAGGACAATGGGACTCATTCTGGCAGGAGCAGGGATAGCTCTCCGACTGGTGGCCCCCTGGGGAGGTCTCACATACCATGAAATCACTCTACAAGATCTCACACCGGGGGGCTACCCTGGTGGCACAGTGGTTAATATTCCGCCTACCAATGCAGAGGACACGGGTTCGATCCCTGGTCCGGGAAGATCCCACATGCCGCGGAGCGGCTGGGCCCGTGAGCCATGGCCGCTGAGCCTGCGCGTCTGGAGCCTGCGCTCCGCAACGGGAGAGGCCACAACAGTGAGAGGCCCGCGTACCGCAAAAAAAAAAAACACAAGGTCAAGAACCAAGCTCCATCTGGGATATGGTCACGCAGAGCCCCCGCAGCTGAACTGGTTTCTTCCACTGCTTGGCCCACTAACTGCTATCATCCTCCGGCTCACCTTCGGGCCTTGTCTCCTTGACTGCCTTGTCAACTTCGTTAGTAAACGGCTTGAAACCATCAAACTTCAGATGATACTAACACAAGAATACAAGCAACTGGGACTGCATCCTGGTGACAATCAAACTTATTTTAGGTTAGTCAGAAATCCAGAAAAAAACTACACCCACGTTCGGCAAAAAGCAGCTTCAGCAATCAAACCTTCGCCCTTCAGTGCCCCCTCAAGAATGAGGAGCAGTAACAAGGGAAGGGGGCATTTTGTTGCCAGATCTAAGCCAGGTCTTTGCTCCAAATCTGCCACCCTCCCCGCCACACCTTCAGCAGGAGTGAACATAAATCTGTAAGTTAAAGGGTCCAGAGATAAGAGACGAAGCCACACGCACAAAGAAAAAAACAAGTGGAACCAGCTGGGACCAAGATGGCGGCAAATCCAACCTCCAACAGACCCTGAACCTCATTATGTGTTGATTTTACTATATTAACATATTAAATGACACACCTACCAGAGACCAGTACATACATTAAAGACCGAAACAGGATAAAAACGGTGTCCCCCACCCCCGCAACTCCCTCAAAACAGCCTTGCCCCTTCCCCAGTAGGCTAATGCGTGTACCTCCCAATCATTAACCTCGCTCCTCCCTTTAATATTAAATCCCCCTCGCCAGGTGGGTGAGAAGTTCAGCTGTGAACTTAGCTCCCGCTGTTCCATTTATTCGGCCACTGAATAATACTCGTGCTATGTCAACTCTGCTGCGGCCCCAGCAGGGTCCACAGGACTTAATTCGGTAATGGGCGCACAAGGGGAGGTGGCAGCGGGGCCAGGGCTCTCCCAAGACCCAAGCTACACCCACTAACACGTGTGCATGTAGGCGGAGGGAACGGGAAGAGTCCCAATTGTCCCAGCACCAATCCTGTTCTCATAAACTTCTGGCAGGCAGTACGCACAGGCTGGCCCCCGCCTCACAAACAGCATTTACGGAAATGGGTCCGGGACCAGGGCAAGGCTGGGGGGTGGCCTGCTGGCGCGTGGCGGTCACATGTTGGCTCGTTCCCGCTGCAGCCGCGAGTTATAGGCACGGGACACGGTGTTCCAGGCGTCCATGTAGCGGTCCATGCACATGGCGATGCACTTCTGGGGACGGGGAGGGCGCACGGCTCAGGTCTGGAGCCCCCACCCCCGGCAGCGGATTGCGCACGCGCCGCGGCCCCATCGCGTCGCCCAGTTAGTCCGCGTGCATGCGCAGAGGCCTCCCCGCCGGGTCCGGGCCCGCGACCCCGCCGGCCCCCCGCGTTTACCTGTTCCGAATTGTCCAGGGAGCCCCCCGGCTTCCCGATGCACTTCCGGAAGCACTTGTCCGTCATCCTCTGTGGGGACACGCGAGCCCTCAGTTGCGACGCCGGCCCCCGGCGGCCCCCGCCACCCTCGGCCCCCCGCCCCCGCCCTCGCCCCGGACCTGCAGCAGCTCTTGCGCGTTGGCCACGGCGATCTGCACTTTCACCTGCTCCATGATAAGCCCGGGGTCCAGCTTCCCGCTGCCGGAGCTCCCGAAATCCGAGCCGAAGCCACCCTCCATGGCTCCGCAAAGTCAACCGGACAGCAGCAGCGTGTGCCCACCTGCACCCACGCCGGAAGTCGGACACCGCAGGGCCCCACGGGAAATGGCGTCCGAACGCGCTGGGGGCCGGGACTACTGCTCCCATAAGGCCGCGCGGGACCTCCCGCGCATGCGCAGACAAGGGCGGACCAGAGTCGGTTTCCCGTGTAGGACTCCGGGGAGAAGGGAGGGACACGGGGAGAAGGGAGGGACAAGGGGCCAGAGGCCCGCCCCTCCGCGCTCAGGCTCCGCCCCGCCAAGGGTCCCTCCGCACTTGCGCACGGGGCGGTGGGTGCGTCTACACTGCGCCTTGGGCTGTGGGGCGGGGTGTTAAACCAGGGCGTCACGTGACCAAAAGCACTGCGGAGTGCCAGTGCATCAAGTGGGAAAAGAATGCAGAAAACTAGGGGGCCGCGGGGTCAGAGGGTAGGATCCTAAGACACCCGCTTCACTAGGGGCTGGGGCTCCTGCTTCAGCAGCCTGGCGTGGGAGTAGACTCAGAGTGAGAATTTAAAACCAAAATGTTTATTGGAGTGTTGTATAAAAAAGTTTCCAGTCATAAAACGTGTATTACAAATCGGAGAAAACAAAAGACCACACGTTTGGCATGCATCGTAAAAATCACCAACAGATCTATGAAACGTGTCCAAACAGCCGAGTTCTTGAAACCGAGCCCACTAGCGTGTAGTGCTGATGATCCCTTTCGGGCTCAGAATTAAGACCTTTCCAGTAGCTTTAATGTCCTTGAGGAATGTCAGTCCCAGCTCGGATATGCTGATATAAATAGAACTGCTGGGTAGACCGTGTGGGTAAAAACGAGCCCAAGTCTGAGCTTGGCTGCTGTGGCAACAGCTGAGCGCCCAGACTGCGGGCGGGGAGCGGGGGGGGGGGGGGGCACTGGTGTCTCCCAGGGGTTGATTCCTGCCGGCCACATCCCCGGAGGCCGTCCCTCCCCAGGGCTGGGAAGAGTGGGCTTTCTCCGGAAGGGTGCTCCTCATCACATGACAGGGGTTTAGAAAAAAGAATCGCTTCTGCATCATTTTAAGTGGCTTAATGTTAAGTATGTTTAAGGGCAAATGCAAATTCGATTTCCCAGGCCCTGGCTGACATTGTAACATTGGACTCTGCTCCGTGTTTTCAAATACTTGGTTACCAATGACGGTCACCAGCCTCCAGCCACAAGTGGCCACCAATCCAGTGCACCCTCCCCCCACCAGCCAAGGGCATCCCAGCGCCTGTCTGGGCCACTTCCAGGCTCCACCCAAGATCTCAAGCAGGCAAGAAAATTCATCTGCTGGGAACAACCCCTACCAGTGAGCCTGGGGGCTCTGCAGGCACTAGGGCAGCCCTTGGGCTGTTTTTCAGGACCTCTGGGCCTGCAGGGAGGGTGGGGCCCTCTCCCTTCCTTCCTGTCCTCGAGCCCAGCCTGCAAAACTGCTTCAGCAATTCAGACCCCAAATTCCAGGACAGACCTCTGATCCCCAGAGACTCTCAAAATACCTTGAAGGATGTAGCCAGTGCACTTCCCACTTGCTTGAGTGCCACCTAGCCCCACCCTCCCAGCATCTCATCAGGCTCCCCAGACCCTCACGCTCCCTCAGCTCCTGCTACTTCTGGGAGAAGGAAGACAGCCTGCGACCTCACAGAGGAAACACAGCCCGCGGTCCAGGGACTCAGGTGGCCATGGAAAGATGCTCGGACTTAAAGCCAGAGTCTGCAGGGGATTCTAGGCTCAGCAGCAGCTTAGTTTTGTCGGCCACTGGCACCTTCCCGGCCTGCGGCTCAGGCCTCGGGCCCTCGTCGCCATGATCGAGTCCCAGGGAAAGGAGGCAGGTGGGCTGCTCCCGGCCTGGGGTGGGGGCAGGCCACCTCCATGGCTCAGTATTGCGTCTTTTAAGACTTGAGCTGCGCTTTCTGAAAGAAGTTTGCCGTCTGGGGCCTCAGAGCCCACAGAGACAGGCGCCCCAATGCCACCCCCTCGGGGGACTGTCCTGGTGACCCTGGCATACATGAGCCCCTGAGGTGGGATCCAGGCAATGTGTGTACTGACCGATGTAAAAAAATAAATATCTGTTAAAAAAATAACTTCTGTGTATCTACGTGGCAGAGGCGTCGAAGGTAAGCTGATGCAGGGAGGGGGCGGCCAGGTGGCCAGAAGCTGGACCGTGACATGGAGCCATCCCGTAGGGGTCAACTGGCCCGGGCAGGTCTGTCTCAGAAACACCATTTCAGCAAGAAGTTACAGAGGAAGCCGCGATATTAGTATATGCCCAAGAATACACGTGAGTCAGCGTGCCCTGTGCACAAGGCACAGAGTCGGAGAACGGGGAGTCCAGCGTCTCGCCCTGAAGTCACCCTCCTCCGATGGGAGGGTGGGAAGCGGTGGTTACAGGTGGACATCGTGCTGGAGCCCAAGGCATTTGTTTCCCAGTTCGTCACACCTGTCCCCTCAAGGCTTACCTGAGGACAAGTCTTATGATGGATTCCCGTAAGGTGAGGAACTCAACTGCAGAAAGCCCCAGAAACGTGAGGTTCCAGCAGCCAGAGAGGGAGCCAGGAGGCCGACCCCACGCACCCCAATTCCTGAGAGCAGAGCAGAAATTGTGACAAACCCCGAAGCCCAGGCCTGATGGTAAAAGCCTGCGATTCCCTTGTTCTGGCACTCGGTTGGCTGAGCCACCAAAATTCCACAGGGTGCCCCTTCCCCCCACCAGGTCAGAACCTGGATTCCGAATCTGGTTTTTTTAAAAGCTTAATAAAACAAACAACTATTGGGTTCCTACGTGCAGTTCTGCTCTGTCCACCTCAGGCCTCCTCTCCCGCCCTGACCCCAGGCTGCAGCTGAAACCGAAGCGCTGGACGGGCCCCCTGGACTCCCAGCCCAAAGCCTGTTAGCCACTCGGCTCCTGGGCCCCAAACTCAACCGAAAGGTGAGAACGGGGCACTTAACACTCTGGACAGTGGTGATGAAGGGCCCAGGGAAACCCAGCGACAGGAAAGTTCAGCAGAGACCCACCCCCACGCTCTGGCAGTTCGCTTAAAAACTCTCTAGAAATGTACCAAGGACTAAAGAAGCCAATGATATAAAAATAGTTTTCAGTGGCCCTGGATAAAGAAAGACGTGTGACGAGGCATGTTCGGTTCACATGACGCGGCAGCCTCGAGAGGTGGTCCTCGGATCCCCCTGCAAGGAAGGACGGCACCAGTGAGGAGGCCAGGAAGGTGGCTGGTGGCCCCAGCCCCCTCCAGGAGGGCCTGGACCGGGGCAGGGCCTGAGCCACCATGAGAAGCTCAGCTCCCGGCAAGATGACCCCAGCCTCAATGGTCCCTGTTCCAGAACCTTCCATGTCTCCCTCACCTCTGTTCTGAGCTACAGAACACGGTACAACTGTTTCAGACCCCGGAGCATCTTGCACTTATATCTCATTCAGTGTGGTTCCTTGGCTCCCCACCTTTCCCCCAAAGCCATTATTAAGCCACCAGCACCCCACTCTGGAGGAAACGTGGTAACAGGGGGTTCGCTGAGAACCCTCGGGGCTCCACCAGAGTCACTTTGAGATGCAACAGGCTTTGAACACCCCACTCCCAGGGTGCCCGGGCCAGTACCCTAAGGTCCACACAACAAGCAAGCCCGGGAGGCAAGGGCAGCTGGCTCCATGGCCTGCCTCTGGCTGTGAGCTCTGCGGCCTGGCCGAGCCAGGGCGAGACCTGGGAGGTGCCCAGAGCAGCCGCGTAAACAGGGCCCACAGGCGTGTGCACGTGTGAGTGTGCGCGTGCCGCCTGGGAGCCTCTACCTGCTGATGGAAAAGATCCTCCTCTCCAAACTCGGCCGCCTCGTCCTCACCCTCCTCCCCGTCCTCGGCCTCCCGCACCACCGAGGACTGCTTCACAGTTCTCATGGCCACTTCCTGTGCAAGACAACACAGCAGCTGCAGACGGCCACCCCAGGTGCTGGGGGCCCAGCCCACAGGCGAGGTGGTCAGGATGCTCGGATGCCCAGGACCAGGCCCAAGCTGCGCTCACGTGCCCTGCTGGCCAAGTCCCCACCCCAGGAGGGACGCCAGGACCGAGGCAGAGGGAGGTGCTCACCTCCCCGTCAGCATTGACCAGGATGGTCCGGAAGCTCTCGCCCGTGCCCCAGCTGTTCTGGCTCTTCCACACGAGCGTTGACGGGGGGCTGTGAGCCACCCCTGCACCGGCTGCCCATACCTGGGGACACAGGAGGGCCTCCTGGTTAATGTCAGCTCCAGTCCCAGTGGCATGTACCACCAGCCGGTCCTCTATCACAGGCTCCCTCGATGCCCTGGGTGTTTAATCCTCCTGGCCCTACTGGGTCCTAGCTAGAGGTGACAGTCACCAGGGTATGGAAGAAGAGACTGAGGTTCACAGTGACCAGGGCAAACGGGCCAGGCTGGAATCGGAAGCCCTAGAGTCCATGCCTATTGGCTGTCATGTGTCTCGCCAGTGCCTGGACAGACAGCCCAGACAGCCTGGACTCAGCCCCACCTCCACCATGGACCCCCAGCACATCACTTAGGCCCTCCCAAGGGCTCCAGGGAAGCCCGGATGAAGAAACACTGGCACACAGGTGATCTGTGACAGCAGGCAGCTGTTCTCAGCGCCGGGGCTCCATCCCTGTAATGCTCTCCCCCCGCACCCCGGTCCCCCCACCCCATCCCAGTCGCACCTCACATCCTGCCCGCTCCCTCTCCGCAGCCACCTACCGTGACCGTCTGGCCGGCCCGCAGCACATACTTCGGCGTGAACTTGTAGGCGATCTCCTCCCCTTCTAGGATCTGCCTCTTGATCCTCCAGTTGCCCAGAGACTGATCCTGGCAAAGGGGACGGGCGTTGGCCCACGTCTCCGAGAAGACCCAGCGGGCTCCCCACGGGTTGGGTGGGGGCCTCACCTTGTCCGAGCTGTTCTTCAGCTGCACGAACTTGCCCTCCAGGTCGATCTCCTCGATGCTGATGCTGCCCGAGGCCGAGGCCTGCTGGGCCAGGCGGAAGCTGCTGCTGCTGGAGCCGGTGCCGCTGGAGCCCGTGCCCGGCGGCTCCTCCACCTCCAGCCGCTTCCGCTTGCTGCGGCCCAGGCGCCCGGACACGGACACGCTGCTGCCGCTGCTGCTCGATGTGGCCCGCGAGATGGTGATGCGCGATGACGGGCTGGGGGACAGCTTCAGCCTGGGGGGCGGGGTCGCGGGGTGCCTGGTGACTCAACCCGGCCGGCCTGGGACAACACGCTCGCCTCACCCCCACCCCCGCCGCGCCGCGCCGCGCCCACCTCTCCTCCTCGCCCTCCAGGAGCTTGCGGTAGGCGCTGATCTCCATGTCCAGGGCCAGCTTGACGTCCAGCAGCTCCTGGTACTCGGCCAGCTGCTGCTGCATCACGTCCCGCATCTCCGTCATCTCCCGCTCCTTGGCGTCCAGCATCTTCCGGAACTTGTCCCGCTCCCCGGCCACGGTTTCCTCCAGCTCCCGGATCCGGTCCTCGGCCGCATTCGCCTGGGGCGGGGTGCACGCGCGTCACAGGGGGAAGCCCGGCCACCTCCGGGCCTCTTCCCCGCACCGACGACGGCGGGAGGGACGACGGGACGGGGCCTGAGGAGGGGTCAGGGGGCTCTGGCGAGTCACCTGCTTCTGGAGGCCGGAGAGCTGGTAGCTGAGGGACTCAACCCGCATGCGGGCCTCCTTCAGCTCCTCCCGAGCGGCGCTGGCGGCCTTGTCGTTCTGGTCGGAGCTCAGCTTGGCGTTGTCCAGCTGCGGGGACACAAGAGTGCATGAGAGCCCGGGAGAGCCCGCGCGGGGCTGGGCGCGGCGCTGGCGGGGCAGGACGGCGCACATGCGCACCTTGGCCTGGTAGGTCTGCTCCAGCTCCAGGCGGTACAGCCGCACTTGCTCATCGTGCTGCGCCCGCAGCTCCTCCAGTGCCTGGGCCATCTTGAAGTCATACTCCTGCTGCCGGCTGCTGTCCACCTCCACCAGGCGCCGCTCGTGTCGCCGTCGCGTCTCCCGCACCTCCTGGGGACACAGCCGCGCGCTCACCGCCCCGGCCTGCTCACCAGCGTCCCGGACCCACCAGGGGCTGGACCGAGGACACGGTTCACCACCACTGAAGAGCGGCTGCCCAGCGTCTCCCAGCTGACGGCCGATCAACACACGTGTCCCTCCACACATGAGAGCAACACTCAATCATGAAAAGGGGTGAAGCCCTGACACTCGCTACAACGTGGATGGACCCTGAGAACACGAGAGAAGTGAGAAAAGCCAGACACAGGACACGCAGCGTGTGATTCCACCGATGGAAACGTCCAGAACAGGCAGATCCACAGACACAGAGAGTGGGTTCGTGGTTGTCAAGGACTGGGGAGGGGGATGCAGTGACTGCCGATGGGGACAGGGCTTCTATTGGGGTGACGGAATGTTCTGGAATTAGATAGAGGTGATGGTTACACAATACTGTGAATGTGCTAAATTTCATTAAATTAATTGTATACTTTAAAATAGTTTTGTTATATTAAAAAAAACTGGAACGCTAATGGTAACGGGTACAGTTTCTTTTGGGGGGGTGACAGAATGTTCTGGAATTAAGCAGTGATGGCTGCACAATTCTGTGAATGGACTAAAAATCCAGTCTAAATTGTAAACTTTGAAAGATTTCTGGTATGGGAATGTTTCAATAAAGCTGTTATTAAAAGAATTCCTGATGGAGCCCATCCCGGGTGTCTGAGGTCCGAGACAGGACAGCAGTGGGTCGAGACAGTGACCAGCTGACAGATGCCCCAGCCACATGTGCCAGGAGTTGACCAGACAGCGGTGGAGTCAAGGGCAGAGGGGGCAGCCCCAGAGCTCAGGGCCTCTGACTGTTTTGTGGAACAATAGGAATTGTTTCTAAAGAAAGCCAAGCATTTATAAAGTGGTGTGGTGGAACCTCAGCGAAACGCCCACCCCGCCCCCAGGCCCGCCTCAGGGACCCTCCCACCCCGCCCCCCCACCACCACGTGGCCTCCTCACGGGATCCCTGACAGATGTGAGCTTCTTCTTGGCGCCCCTGGCCGCTCTGGCTAGAGCGGGGCCTGGCTGGAGCTGGAAGCCGCTCTGTGGCTGCATGGGCACCCTTCCCACCAGCACTCTTCCAGAGCAGTGAGCGCGGGAAGTGGCCCAGCCCCCAGGGTTCTGTTCTGCACCACGACAGCACAATGGGCTGTGATGAGGTGGGAGGGCCCGGGGAGCCCCGAGGCCCAGCGATGAGGAGGCGGGAGAGGGTCTGCAGGGGGCTGAATTGGGGCCCTCCCAAAAGGTGTGCCCATGTCTTGGTCCCCAGAACCTGTGAGTGTGACCTTCCTGGACAAAGGGTCTTTGCAGATGTGATTAAGTTAAGGGTCTCAAGACCATCCTGGATTATCCGGGTGGCCCTAAATCTGAGGACAAGTGTCCTTGGAAGACACAGATGAGCAGGGGAGAAACAGAGAGAGACGGCCACATGACGATAGAGGTGGGCATCAGGGTGACGCGGGAAGGAGGGAGCACCCTGGTTCCGCCGGGCGGGGCCCCACCTCCTCAAAGACGTCCTTGCGGAAGGCCAGCTCCTCCTGCAGGCTCTGGCAGCGGTTCTCCAGGTCCACGCGCATCAGCGTCTCCTTCTCCAGCTGCTTTTTGGCCACTGCGTGCCCATCCTCCGCCTGAAGACGTGGGACAAGCAGCTGGTGACGCTGTCTGCCTCAGAAGGCGGTCCTTGGGGGCCTGCAGCCCACCCACAGCTACCTTGGCCAGCTGGGCCCTCAGCTCCACCACGTCGTTCTCCAGGGCGCGCTTGTCGCTGAGAGCAGCGGCCAGCTCTGCCTCACTCTGGTGGAACACGGACTCCAGGTCCTTGACGCGGCCCTGGGCCACCGTCAGCTCGCCCTCCCTCTTCTTTGCGCTGAAAGTCAGGGGCAGAAGTTAGCAGGCAGCCCCGATGCCCAAGGCCAACTTCACGTCTGCCTCTGGGCCCCGGGCCCCGACCTAGCATCCCTCTCAGTAGCAGGGCCTCACCTCTTGGCACCAAAGGTGCCCCATCTTCAAACCCACTCTGTATCGGGGGACCCCGCCAGCCGCTCAAAATAGCCCTCAAGACGTGGGTTTTCATGTCCTTTCCCAAGACTTTTGGGCACAGGAAGGGTCATTAGAGGAGAACTCTGATTTTTTTTTTAATGTATTATTTATTTATTTACTTTTTTTTTTTTTTTGGCCACGCCGTGCGACTTGCAGGATCTTAGTTCCCTGACCAGGGATCGAACCCTCACCCTTGACAGTGAAAGTGCCAAGTCCTAACCACTGGACGACCAGGGAATTCCCTGTGTATAATTTATTAAAGTAACAAATTAAAACCTCGGCCTGGGGCTTCCCTGGTGGCGCAGTGGTTGAGAGTCCGCCTGCCGATGCAGGGGACACAGGTTCGTGTCCCGGTCCGAGAGGATCCCACATGCCGCGGAGTGGCTGGGCCTGTGAGCCATGGCCGCTGAGCCTGCGCGTCCGGAGCCTGTGCTCCGCAACGGGAGAGGCCACAACAGTGAGAGGCCCGCGTACCAAAAAAAAAAAAAAAAACAAACAAAAAAAACCCTCGGGTCTTTGAAAAGTCAATCTCATTTGTAAACTTAAGCTATTTTAGGCGGGCTTGCCCAGCTTCTAACAGACAATTATCTCCAACATGAAATATTTAAGATGCCAAATCGACTTTTCTAACACACAACTCTTAAAAAAGGGGGAACATTTCTGAACGCTGCTCTAAATCTCCTTGGGGTTGACAGCTTGCCCACTTCCTCACCAAGGAACTGAAACTGCCCGGCAGCAGGGGGGACAGCCAGGGTCTCTCCCAGTGGACACTGCAAGAGGTGGAGCAGCAGCCCTGGCAGCCCACCCCCTTCCCTGGTCCTGACAACCACAGACGTCCCCAGGACCATGCCCGGTGTCCCCTGGGGGCAGGACCACCCTGGGTGACAACCACTGGCAACACCACACCAGTTCGAGGGGACGGGGCATAAAGTCCGGTGACTTCGGCCTCCAGGCTGACCCTGTCCTCACAGGAGCTCTGTGCAGGTGTTGCACGATGGCCTCTATGAGGGTCTGGGGGCCTGCAGCCCACATTCCTCAGCTTAAGCCACACAGTCCCGGTTCTTCCACTCACGGCGTGGGGCTGCAAATCCCGCATCCCTGGAGGGTTTGGGGAAACTAGAACCATCTGACACATCATTCCTGAGGACCAGCTTCATGAAAAGACCGTCCTCACACTAGAGATACATCTGCCAACACCCCTGTCTTCGTGGAGAACTTTCTCATAGGTGCAGACAGCAGTGCAACGTGCTGCCCTCAGCTGTGACCAGGCGCGGTCCGAGGCTGGATGAAGCGGGAGGGGACGGGTGTGTGCGGGGCAGGAGCTGCTGGGCGTGGCCCTTGAGCCGGAGCCATGAAGCCAGGGGCTGGGCCTCGTCTTTGGCAGGATCGGGGCGTCGGGCAGAGCAGAGGGCAGAGGAGTGAGGTGAGGTGCGCGGGCAGGTCAGCCACGAGGCGAGGGCGACAGCAGCAGAGGGATCAGGAAACGTGACAGACTTCTAGACGTCTTCACCCCATTCTAGGGCTCTGCAGAACGACACAGAATGGTCCAGAAAGCAGGGGTGCCAGCAGCCCTCACTGGCTTACGTGCCTGCTTCTTAACAGCTTCCAGGTGCGAAAGCAGATTCCTCCCCTGGAGCCCTAATTCCTGGAGGATTAGGCAGGAGCACCCGGCCTGTCAGTCCTCCACTTGACGACCTGCGTTTCCATCATCACAGGGTTTTCGCGATATATTTGGTAGGAAAAGAAAAGCACTGCTGTAACCTGTCAGGAGGTTCACCTTGCTCGCTGTCACGTGCCACCCACACCTGTCTGCGAGGGCTCTGAGCCGAAGAGCAGGAAGCGAGGCTGTTGGGCGAAGCACCTGTGGAAGTGAGTGCCCACAGCCCGGGAAGCTTTCCTCCCAGAGCAGGGGCCAAAGCAAAAGCCACCAGCCCGGGTGCCCGACAGCGGGCACAGCTGCTACCCTAAGCTGTCGCGGGAGCCTGGAACACGGCCGAGGGGCTGGGACGGCATCACGACACAGGTGCCATCGATGACCAGGCTCGAGGTCAGGAAAGCCTTGTGTTGTCTGACGGCGTCCACCTTGAGTTTAAATTTAAAAAGGTGGAAAAGAAATGCACCAGGTTGGTCTCGGAGATTCTGTCTGGGCAGAGGCTCATGGAGACTTTCATTTTTCTCTTGAAATTAAATGCATTATCTGCTTTCTCGCCAGGGAGCATCTATGACTCTGATAAGCAGAAAGAAACGTGACCTCTCGGCCCAGACAAGGAGCAACACGCAGGTTAAAGGTGTCTGGGAGGTTCAGGGCCTGAGAGGGGCCGGGGGAATTCCAGAATTCTCCTAATCTTCTCCAAGAAGCTCAAGTCCCTTTTTAATTAAAAAATGTAATAAATTAGGAATCCCCTAGTGGTCCAGTGGTTAGGACTCCGCGCTTTCACTGCCAAGGGCGTGGGTTCAATCCTCGGTCGGGGAACCAAGATCCCGCAAGCCGGGAGGTGTAGCCAAAAGGGAAAAAAAAAAAAAAAGTAATAAATTGATGGGATATCCAGTTTACCTGGCTGTTTTAAAAGTATACAGATTGCCTGTGCTGCTCATCAAAGACCAGGTGACTATACTGTGCGGGTCTGTCTCTGGGCTCTCTGTTCTGTTCCACGGAGGAACCAGAAACACATCACCAAGTGACAGAAGACAGTCTGAGAAGGCGACACACAGTGATTCTAACTCCAGGACATTCTGGAAAAGGCAGAGCTATGTGGGGACAGTAAAAGGATCCTCCTTGGTTTCCAGGGGCTGGGGGAAGGCGTGAGTCAGAGGAGCACAGGGGATTTTCAGGGCGGTGAGACTACTGTGTGATACTGTGATGGTGGGCGCGTGTCAGTGTGCCTTTGCCCAAACCCAGAGGCTGCAGGACACCAACGGAGAACCCCTATGTCAACTACAGACTGCAGCTAAGAAGAATGTATTAATATTGGCTCTTCCATCATGACAAGGCGGCACACCCATTACTGCAAGGTGGTCATCATCGGGGACCCTGGAGGGGGATTTGGGGAAACCTGTACCTTCCACTCATTTTCCTGTAAACCTAAAACTGTTCAAAAACAAAAACAAAAAAAATCCCTATTAATGATAATTTAGAAGTCTACTAATGAGAAAAAAATGAAAAAGAACCCTGCAAACGTGAAGGTGGCAGTCAGCTGCTGCTGGGACTATGAACGAGGACTGGAGCCCGGGTCCAGGCCTCAGTCCTGGTCGCTGCCACGCGAAGGGACCATGGATGACTCCTCCCCACACCTCATCCTCGGCTTCCCCTCTAACCGGAGTTGATGCCAGCCAGGACCTGCTGGGGTCGCCGTCAGCAAGGAGAAGATCTGGTGTTCCTCACGGAGTCCTTTATCTAAACACTCCACGAGTTTACATCACTTTATTCCTTCTGCTACCATCACCATCAGCACCGCCTTGTCCTCCAAATTTCCTGAGCCTTTTACTCAGGAGCAGGTGGGAGACGGTGCTCAAGAACGGGAAGAAAAGGTCACCCGCCGCCCCCGGCTTCCCCGGCTGGGCTCTGTGACCTGGGGCACCCCTCCTCTGGGGAAGGGGAGAGGCACAGGGCTACCAGCTACCAGGGATTCAGTCCCAGGAGAGCTGCTGGGTTTTAATTCTTCCTGGGGCCAAATTATATTGGGGGATAAAGGCTCTAGACGGGGTGGCCAGAGGGCCAGGCCACAGAGGCCGCCCCCACCCACCCAGCGGCCCCCAGAACCCACACGGCCCGCTCCCAGGAGGGCTGCCCGAGCCAGAGGCCCCGCTCAGACGGGAGCCGTCACCTCACACAGGGCGACAACCCCTGCCCCGGGCCCCTGTGCGCCCCAGAATCAGGTGACATCGTGCCGGCTGCAGCCCCACCTCTTGTTGGCTTCCTCCAGGTCGGCCCTCAGCTTCCCAGTTTCGATCTGCAGCCGGGCTCGGTCCCGGGCCGTCTCGTCCAGCACCCGGCGGGCATCAGCCAGCTCCGCCTCGTACAGTGTCTTGATGCCGCTCACCTGGGGGGACAGCCAGGCCGAGGTGAAGCCCACCCTTCCCCACCAACACGGCTCCCGCTCACCCCGACACTGCCCCACCAGCCCCGGGCCACACCAGCCTGTCCAGGTCACTGGTCCCCATCACTGGCCGCTGCTAGGTCACACCTGCCAGCTGGGCACACACCTCAGGTCTCCCGTCAGCCTCCCTGCCCCGCGCCAAGGGGTACAGGGCCGTGAGCGTGTTTACAAATATCTGGAACCAACAGGACAGTGAGACACCACCTCCCCCCACGAGGATGGCTACCGTGGAAACGACAGTCGATAACAAGTGCTGGTGAGGTTAGGGAGGAATCGGCACCTCCACGCACGGCCAGGGGATTAAAACGGTACAGCCACCACGGCAGACGGTCTGGCATTTCCTCAGATGGACAAACAGAGCAACCACCAACCCAGCAATTCCACCCCCAGGAATCTACCCGGGAGAAATAACACACATCTTACACAAGACCCATGCGCATGCGTTCACAGCCCCATCGCTCCTAATGGCCCCAACGTGGGAACCACCCAAATGCCCATCAGCAGATGACAGATAAACAGAATGTGGTCCCTCCACACATGGGAGAATCACTCAGTTGTGAGAAAGGGTGACGCCCTGACACTCGCTCCAACGTGGACAGACCCTGAGAACACGATGCTCAGTGAGAGAAGCCAGACACAGAAAGGACACACGGTGTGTGATTCCATCCATGGGAAACGTCCAGAACAGGCAAATCCCCAGGGACAGACAGTGGGTTCATGTCAAGCGACTGGATGAGGGTGAGGGGGTGACCACTAATGGGGCCCGGGCTTCTTCTTTTTTTTTTTTTTTTTTAGTGCAATTCTGTTTTGTTATGGTTTTTTTGAGATATAGTTGATGTACGATATAAGTTTCAGGTATATGACACAGTGATTCGCAATTTTTAAGGGTTATACTCTATTCATAGTTACTAAAAAATATTGACTATACTCCCTGTGTTGTACAATATATCCTTGTAGCTTATTTACTTCATACCTAATGGTCTGTTCCTCTTAATCCCCTACCCTATCTTGCCCCTCCCCAAGAAGGGGTTTCCTTTGGGGAGATGGCTGCACAGCTCTAAATATATTAACCACTCCTGAACTTAGAGCAGAGTTTAACCGGGTGAACTGCATGAGACAGGAATTATACCTCAATAAAGTGGTTAAAACTCTTTTGGGGGCTGACACAGAAGGCAAAGGGTGACAAGGCAGCTGGCTTTGAAAGTGGCACCATTTCCCACAAAACTACAACAGAGCAGTGAGTGTCTGTGCCAGGGGTCAGAGGTCAACTTAAGGCCTGGGAGGGTCACTCCCCTCCCTTGCACAGGAAAGGCCCCTGAGCTGACGAGGCTCAGGGGAGCTGCCAAGGGCCTGCCACTTGGTTGGGTGACCACCATCCCCGTTTGCCTGGGACCGAGGGGATTCCAGGATGTGGGATTTTTGAGGGTTCAAACCGGAATGTCCCAGGCAGATCAGAACAAATCCAGAAGAGGTGGGATTTAATAGCCAGTCTGATCTCAGACTCCCACCCTCTCCGGCTGGGGCCTGGCTCTCCCACCTCAATCCAGCACTCCTGGTCACTTCATCCCACAGGTAGGGGGGGGTATGGGCTCTTAGCCCCATTTCACAAATGGGGAAACTGAGGCACAGGACAGCACACTGCCCTCTCCTGACCTGTCAAGGTACAGGGCAGAGCAGTCCGCTGGGGGCAATTCCGAAAGGGGGACACGCAGGGGATGTGTCTCTGCCCTCTCTCCCCGCCCATCCAGTCACCTTCCAGGACTTTCCTAACCCCAGTGGAGGGCCTGGCACCTAGGCAGGGATCTCAGACAAGATCTCCGGCCGCACAGGCTGGGTTCCTACTGGGGACCTGTCTCTCCAGCCTCCCCTCATGGCACGAGGGGCGCAGATGGCCCAACACGACAGGACATCATGGTGAGATCAGAACAGGAACTGTTGGGGCTCAGGGGGCAGGAAACCCAGCACGAGATCCTGCATGTACGCCTGATGCTTATCCACAGTGGACGTCAGCATTAATTTCGACTTTTAAAATATCCCATTAAGATACCACTCATGGGGACTTCCCTGGTGGTCCAGCGGTTAGGACTCTGTGCTTCTACTGCAGTGGGTGTGGGTTCGATCCCTGGTTGGGGAAGTTCCATGTACCACGCGGGGCGGCCAAAAATAAAAAAAAGGTACCACTCACACCCCTAACCCGGCCTGCCCATGAGAAAACACCAGATGAACCCCAATGGGGACACTCCTGTCCCCACCTCACAGCTGCCAGGGCCCCAGGAACCAGGAAAGGTGGGGAAACAGCACATCCCACAGGGGCCCAGGAGATGGGAGACCTGGATGTCACAGGGGTCCTGAGGGGTCCTGGGGCAGAGAGGATGGTGGGTCAGCTCAGGAGATCTGAGCAAAGCTAAAGTGATGCAGCACTGTCGGAGAGCGAGCTGTGAGACACACTGACGTGAGATGCTGATGGGGACCCAGTACCGCCCTCGACCTTTGTCTATACACCTAACACTGACCCAAGAAGTAAGTTCGAGGGGATTCCCTGGTGGCGCAGTGGTTAGGAACCTGCCTGCCAATGCAGGGGAGAGGGGTTCAAGCCCTGGTCCGGGAAGATCCCACATGCCGCAGAGCGACTAAGCCCGTGCGTCACAACTACTGAGCCTGCGCATCTGGAGCCTGTGCTCCGCAATGGGAGAGGCCGCGACAGTGAGAGGCCCGCATACCGCGATGAGGAGTGGCCCCCGCTTGCCGCAACTAGAGAAAGCCCTCGCACAGAAACGAAGACCCAACACAGCCAAAAATAATTAATTATTTTTTTTAAAAAAAGAAGTAAGCTTGAGCAATTCAAAATACATCGTGCGTTCATCTCTGTGAGCGAGAATGTGGGCGTCCCACTAGACTCCGTGCCCAAGGCGAGGGCCTCACTTGTCCTAGGCCATCTTGGGTGACTCTCGGGGGTCTTGTTAAAGAGCAGGCAGACCTCAGGGACACAGAGGGTCCCGTTCCAGACCCTGCAATAAAGCGAGTATCACAATAAAGCGAGTCATACGAATTGTTTGGCTTCCCAGTACACATAAAAGTTATACACAAAAGGACTTCCCTGGTGGCGCAGTGGTTAAGACCGCGCTCCCAATGCGGGGGGCCCAGGTTTGATCCCTGGTCAGGGAACCAGATCCCGCATGCATGTTGCAACTAAGAGTTCATATGCCACAACTAAGGAGCCCGTCTGCTGCAACTAAGGAACCGACATGCCACAACTAAGGAGCCGGCGAGCTGCAACTAAGGAGTCTGCCTGCTGCAACTAAGACCCGGCCAAACCAAAAAAATTAATTAAAAAAAAAAAAAAGTTTTTTTTTTTTTTTTTTAAAGTTATGCCCAGGGAATTCCCTGGCGGTTCAGTGGTTAGGACTCTGCGCTTTCACTGCCAAGGACGTGGGTTTGATCCCTGGGAATGGATCTTTATCCCCCAAGCCGCATGGCTCAGCTAAAAAAAAAAATTTATGCTCACACTACCCTGCAGTCTATTGACTGTGCAATAGCCTTGTGGCAAAAAAAACAATGCACAGACCTTATTTAAAAATACCCTATTAGGACTTCCCTAGTGGCGCAGTGGATAAGAATCCACCTGCCTATGCAGGGACATGGGTTTGATCCCTGGGCCGGGAAGATCCCACATGCCGTGGAGCAACTAAGCCTGTGAGCCACAACTACTGAAGCCCGCGCACCTAGAGCCCGTGCTCCGCAACAAGAGAAGCCACCGCAGCGAGAAGCCCACACGCTGCAGCGAAGAGTAGCCCCTGCTCGCTGCAACTAGAGAAAGCCTGTGCGCAGCAACGAAGACCCAACACAGCCAAAAATATATATAAATTTTTTTTAATTTTTTTAATAAAAAAAATAAAAATACTTTATTGCTAAAAATGCTGTCAACTGAGCCTCAGCAAGTTGTAATCTATTTGCAATAGTAACATCAAAGGTCACTGATCACAGATCACCATAACAAATAACACAAATGAAGAAACTGGAAATATCTGGAGAAAGATCAAAACGTGACACAGAGACCTGAAGGGAACAGACTTGCCCAAGGCAGTGTTGCCACAGACCTTCAATTTGTAAAAATGCAGTGTCTGTGCAGCACAATGACCCGAGATGTGTCTGTGCTCGGTTCTGACAGCGTTTTGGGCGTGTGCGCGCATGTGCACACCCATCTGTGTGTCTTAGTAAGGCAATCCTCTACAGCCAGGACTGCAAACTCAGGCCCAGGCGCCAAAATTCCAGCCCACCACCTGTTTTTGTCCAGCCTGTGGGACTAAAATGGTTTTTATGTTTTCAAATTGGCTGGGTGAAAAAAAAGAAAAAGGTATCTCATGACACAGGCACCCATATGAAGTGCACATTTCAGTGTGTATACATAAAGCTTTATTGTCAGGCAATCTGCGCATTCCTCCATGTACTGCCGGGGGCAGCTTCCCCACCACAAAGGCCGAGCTGAGTGCTCAAGCCTGAAACCATCAGCCCACAAAGTTGAGAACAACTCCAGCCCTTTCCAGAAAACATCTGCAGAACCCAATCGACAGCACTGGGACGATGGAGAAAATTCTATCTAGAGGAGGACGCGCAGATGGCCAGTGTCACAAAGGCTCTTTCAGACCAGTGAACAGGGGTTCTCCGGGCAGGCCTGTGCCTCCCTGCACTGTGACACTTGGGACAAGTGTTTAGTTCTGCCTTTAGTTCTGTCTTTCCCAGCCGGTGCTGCGCAATCGCCGAGCTTGAGGATTCCCAGCAAATGTGCTGCCGTGGAGGAGCAGGGCTCGCGTCACCCGACGTGGCCTTTTCCTGGGGTCCCAGACTTACCCTGTGAGGACCCGCCTGCGTCCCTGGGATTGAGAACCACAGCCACACACCGGCCCTCCCCAAACTCCCAGAGCCCAGCTCAGCTCTTGCTCCCGGGGTCCACCTGGGGAGCACACTCCGACCCCTGCAGCAATGGGACACCTGGGCAGCAAGGGGGAAGAAAGCGAACCCAGAGGAACTCAACATCCAGATGCAGAGGGTTCCCAGAGAGCCCCCCTCCCTCCCTGGCCCACTCCTGCCCCCTCAGCACCCATGATCCTTCTCAAACAGAAATCTGGCCAGCCCCCAGCCTCCCAGAAACCCTCCAGTGACATCTGCACGTGGCATTCGCCCCAGTACCGCTCACCCGGCCAGAAGATGCATCATCTGACTTCCGATGGGAAAGGCTAGAGTCTACAAGTGGCCAGCCCAGGCTTGTGGATGGGAATGTGACTTTTTACCTTATGCCCCTGGACCCTTCGGATTGATTACAAGCACACAGTGTGCTCACAACATTTTAAACTGCATCATCACAGGATTCCTTAAGTGGCTTCTCAGCCTTGACACTAATGGCATTTGGGGCCAGATCATCCTCTGTGGGGGACCCTCCTGGGCTCTGCGGGGTGTGGAGCAGCATCCCTGCCCCCCTCCCAAGTGTGACAACCACAGATGTCCCCAGCCATCACCCAGTGTCCCCTGGGGGCAGATTCCTTCCAGGTGAGGAGCTGCTGAACAGGTAAAGTGCCCTCTGGGAGGCCTGACACACCACGCCCCCCACGCCCTCCATGCCTCATCCCACCTGCTCCAGCCTGAGCCCTGGCGGCTCCCTGAACCTGCCTGGCCTGCCCCTCCATAACCCTGGCCACTTGCAGGTCACTCCCTCCGCACCACCCACATGACCACACCACCTCTTGCTCCAGTAGGTTACTGGCTCTCTCCACTGTCCAGCTGAGAGGGGCATTTGTCATCTCACCCCCAAGCTCTAGGACAGCAAGCTAGTGGGAACTCCCCACTCCCGCTGCAAACACGCCTGTCACCTGGGTGGCCCCAGATCCTGAGCACAGCCCTGGGGGGTGTTCACCGTGGGGCTGGGCTCCCCTGCTCCCACCCAGCAGTCCTGCATCCCAACCAGCCTCGGCAGCTGCCCAGACACATCCAGTTCCCCAGGCCCAGCCCCTGCATGCACTCTCGGGCACAACATCTATCCAGTGGGGGCCAGCACCCCACGTCCATCAGGCCCACTAGGCCGCCACCCCCAAAGGTCAGCACGGTGGTTCAGCCCGCAGGTGGGACAAGAGGCTGGGGGGAATGATCCCGGGCGCTGACCAGCCTGGCAGGGGGGACCTGGGCCTGCATCCCGAGGACATGCATGCACTGCTGAAGCAGGTGGCCACGCTCTGGGTCGGGCCATTCCAGCCCCATTGTACAGACAACAAAACCAAGGCTCTGGGAGGCTGAGTGACCTGCCCAAGGTCACAAATTAAAAGCAGGGTTTGGATCCCGAGCCTTAATCCAATCTCAGGCAACCTAATACAGCACCACCAGCCACCAAGTCTTCTACCTCCCTGGATGCCCAAGCCACACTTTCTGGGCCCATCCCTATCCTAGGGACCATAAAACAGGGACAAGAGAACCCACGGGATCCTTCATTTCATTGCTTTTATTCTACAAAACAAATGTGGACTCATTATGGCCCCACAAACAAGCCCCCAAAGTAGGTATTTATTATTATTTCCAATTTACAGAAGAGGCACTGAGCCCAGAGAAGTTAAGTGATTTGCCCAAGATCACAGAGGGTACGTGGCTCCCAGAAATGACCCCCCCACCTCCCCAGGTCCCTGAGGCTCTCCTCCCAGAAGTCGGTCACTGGGCCCATTCTCCGGAGTGGGAGGCCAAGGCTCAGAGCGCTAAGTGCCAGCTTCAGACCATGACTCTTGCACGGGGCCCACAGGGGAACCACATGGTGGGCATCCCTCCCCCTTATTCTGAGGAACTGCCCTGGGGTTGGGGCGGGGGGCGCCAGTGGGAGAAAAGGAGGGCACTAGGTTGGCAGCCAGACACACCAGACACACCCCACTCAGGACCCCCAGACACCAGCCCTCACATCCCCTTAGGGGACAGGGCTTGTCCAGCCCCTTCTCCCTCAGTCTGCACCAAAACTTCCCGCTGGTTCCCCAAGAACTCATGCCTCCCGCTCCCCTCACATCCCCCAGGACAGGGCAGGGGCTACCAGGCTACTAGGCTCCTGCTCACCAGCCAAGGGGTCCCAGGGCCCAACTAAGGGCCTCCCGAATTTCCCATGGGACTTGGGAGACATCAGATTCCCCCCCCCCGACCCCCGCCCACCCCAGGCCCTGGTAAAAGACCGAACCTCCTGCCTAACCCCACTCCAATCACCGAACTCCCCAGGATTCATTACAGGACCCCTGCAAAGTTCCAAGGAGAACTGAGACCACTGACTCACCCCAGAGACCCCCCTGAGACCCCCCACCCCTCCTCAGGACCCCCTCAGAGGGTCTGAGATTCCCAGTCTCCCCAGAGACCCGAGAACCTCCCCCGTTTCCTCCTAGGACACCCGAACACCCAGACACATCCCCCAAGACTCCCCACAACTCCCTTAGGGGTGGGGTACACCCTGGCTCACACCCCATCACTCAGGGGCCCCCCAGAACTCCCCGAATCCCTTGGTGGGCAGAGCCTGCCCCATCTCCCCCTGCCCAGGCAGGCCCCTCCCTTCACTTCCCCAGGCACAACACCCCCAAGGTCCCCTGGGGTTCCCTCAGAGGAGTGGACCTGCCCAGTCTGCACCCCTCACTCAGGCCAACCCCCCTCAGGGGACTGGTCAGCCCCAGACTCATGGGATCCGTGAAACACCCAGGAGACCCCCGGTGGGTGGGGACCTGCTCCAGGGTGCACCCTCACTCGGGGCCCCCCAGATACCCTGGGGACCGACCCACCAGAGGACGGGACTCGCCCTAGTCTGCACGTTTCTCAGGGGATCACTCGGGGGGCGGGGCCGGCGCCAGTCTCCACCTCTCGTACGGGGAGAGGGGGTAGAAACCCCTGAGGAATCCCTCGTGAGCGTCCGTCCTCGCCTCTACCCCTCACTCAGGCCCCCCGAACCTCCCCTGGGACTCTCAGAGGCAGAAGCCCGCCCCGGCGTGCACCCCTCACTCGAGGGACCCCGAGATCTCCCCAGACCCCTCGATGGGCGGGGCCGGAAACAGTCTCCACCTCTCGCACTGGAGGAGTCCCCGAAACCCGCCGGGGACACTCAGAGGCCGGGGCCCAACCAAGCGTGCGACCCTCGCCGGGGCCCCCGAAGCCCCCTGGGGACGCCTCGGTGGGCAGGGCCCACCCCAGTCTCCCCCTCTCGCAGGGGCGTCCCCGAAGCCCCCCGGGGACCTTGAGAGCCCCGCCCGCCCCAGCGAGAGGCCCCGGCGCCAGCGCCCACCTCGCGCGTGGTCACCTCCTCCCGCTCGGAAATCTTGAGCTGGAGCCGGTCGTTCTCCAGCTCGAGCGCGCGGACGCGGTCGATGTAGTGCGCCAGGCGGTCATTGAGCTCGCGCAGCTCCTCCTTCTCCTGCAGCCGCGACAGGCGCGTGGGCGACAGCGGCGTGGCGGGCCCGCCCGCGCGGCCGGGCGGCGGTGTGGCCATGGCGGCTGCGGCGGCGGAGGCGGCGGCGGCAGCGGCTCGGGGCCCGCGCGGCTCGGAACGGCGGCCGCGGCTCGGCGGGCTCATTCAATCCGACCCGCCGACCAAGATGGCGCCCGCAGCCCGCCGCCGCCGCCGCCGCCGCCGCCGGGCAGCCTGGAACTTGTAGTCCGGCCGGCGCCGCGCGCGGCATGGCGGGAGCTGTAGTCTCCCGCTCAGTTTCCCGCGCTGTCCCGGAGCCAAACCGCCGGGCTCCAAATCCCAGCTGGGCCAATGCGTGAAACCGGGTTTATTTCCGGGATTCAGTTTCCCCTCTTGTATAACCTACCTACCTACCTCTTTGGAGATTCATTAAAATTAAAGGTGGGGTGGTGAAGGAACCTCAGAAATATGTTCGGTGATCTCACCGATATGTGGAATTAAAAAAAAAAAAAATCAAAAATACCCCAGGCTCTTGTAGATACTGTCAAGTTGTCCTCTGAAGAGGTTTACCAGTTTACACTTTTGCAACAATGTATGAGATTGTCTGTTTTCCTGAATTGCTGTCAACCCTGAATCATCTTTTATTTTATTTATTTTTTTAATTTATTATTTATTTTATTTTATTTATTTTTCGCTGTGTTGGGTCTTCGTTGCTGCGCGGGCTTTCTCTAGTTGCGGCGAGCGCGGGCTACTCTTTGTTGCGGTGTGCAGGCTTCTCATTGCGGTGGCTTCTCTTGTTGTGGAGTACGGGCTCTAGGTGCGCAGGCTTCAGTAGTTGTGGCTTGCGGGCTCTAGAGCACAGGCTCAGTAGTTGTGGCTCACGGGCTTAGTTGCTCCGTGGCATGTAGGATCTTCCCGGACCAGGGCTTGAACCCGTGTCCCCTGCATTGGCAGGCGGATTCTTAACCACTGCGCCAAGAGGGAAGCCCTGAATCATCTTTTAAATTATTTTATTTATTTGAATTTCTTTTTATGTCCATAAGCAAAGTTTTGCCATTTTCTTTTATGTATGTGTGTTTTTGTTTTTGTTTTTGTTTTGAGTTATAGTTGATTTACAATGTCGTGTTAGTTTCATGTGTACAGCCCAAGCTCATATGAACAGAGAACAGATTGGTGTCTGTGGGTGTGGGGTATGAAGTGGGTGAAGGGGGTCAAAGAGTACACATTTCCAGTTATAAAATAAATATCATGGGGATGTAATGGGCAGCATGGTGACTGTAGTTAATAATACTATACTGCATATTTGAAAGTTGCTAAAAGAGTAGATCTTAAAATTTCTCATCATATGAGAAAAAACCCTGTAACTATTTGCGGTGACAGATGTCACCTAGACTTACGGTGGTGATTGTTTCCCAGGATATACAAATATCGAATCATTAGTTTGTACACCAGAAACTAATGTTATGTCAATTATACCTCCATTTTGGGGGGGAGGGGAGGGGTACGCGGGCCTCTCACTGTTGCGGCCTCTCCCGTTGCGGAGCACAGGCTCCGGACGCGCAGGCTCAGCAGCCATGGCTCACGGGCCCAACCGCTCCGCGGCATGTGGGATCTTCCCGGACCGGGGCACGAACCCGCGTCCCCTGCATCGGCAGGCGGACTCTCAACCACTGTGCCACCAGGGAAGCCCTATACCTCCATTTTTTAAAAAAAATGTTCAGTGAAAGGAGGCAGACACAGGCCTCTCTTGCCTTCGAGATGGCCCACACTCCGTCTGTGGAGTGTGTTTCTCTCTAAATAAATCCACTTCTTACCTATCGTTTTGTCCCTCCCTGAATTCTTTCTGTGATGAGACATCAAGAACCTGAGCTTCATTAAGTCCTGAGACCAGCACAAAACCCCCCACCAGATGGAAGATGTTCCAGAGAGAAGGTCACAGTTTGGTAACCTTGAGAAGCTCATCAAGGGACCATCTGAGCCCAGATTAAAGGAGCACAGGCCCTTCACACACCCTAATCCTTATCAGCAGCACCCCTCCTCGAACTATTGCTATAAAACTCCTCACCAAATCCCCCCAGGTTGGGACACACAGTTTTTGGCGGGTGTGAGCCCATTGTGTCCCCCTTTGCCTAGCAAAGCAATAAAGCTATTCTTTTCTACTTCACCCGAAAAAAAAAAAAAAAGCCAGACACAAAAGGTCACAGAGCGTATGAGTCCACTCATATAAAATGCCTAGAAGAGGCAAAATGATACAGCAGGGTCTGTCCAACTCGGCTCTGTGGACATTTGGCCCCCATCACTTTCTGTGGGGGGACCATCCTGTTCATTGTAGGATGTCAGGTGGCATCGCTGCGCTCCCCCCACCCCGGCCACCTGATGCCAGCAGCACCACCACACCTTCCGATCCAGACAACCAAAAATGTCCCCAGATGTTGCCACATGTCACCGAGCGGACAACATCACCCTCAGTGGAGAACCACTTCCTTCCCCTAACCCTGGAACTTGCCCGCTGTTCTTTCTGCCCTGAGAACCGCCCCCCCCCATACATCTCACCTCGGGGGACTTGGTGCAAACAGCCTTCCTCGGGGACCCCAGCAAATCACACACTGAGAACTTGGATTCCTTTACCAGCCCTCTGGGGTGTGGGGTGGGACGGCCTCCCCGCTGCGCGCGGGCTTTCTCTAGTTGCGGCAAGCGGGGGCTACCCTTCGTTGCGGTGCGCGGGCTTCTCACTGCGGTGGCTTCTCTTGTTGCAGAGTACGGGCTCTAGGTGCGCGGGCTTCAGTAGTTGTGGCGCGCCGGCTCAGTAGTTGTGGCGGGCTGTAGAGCACAGGCTCAGTAGTTGTGGCGCATGGGCTTAGTTGCTCAGCGGCATGTGGGATCTTCCCGGACCAGGGCTCGAACCCGTGTCCCCTGCATTGGCAGAGGGATTCTTAACCACTGCGCCACCAGGGAAGCTTTTTTTTTTTTTCTCCTGTCTTGAATCCTGATACTCACGCACATTCCCCTCTTACCAGAAGCAAAGCCCCCTGCCCTGCCCCAGCACCCAGGCAGGCACGAGTCCCTGGCCAGGCTGTGACTAGGCTCTCAAAAACTAGCTCGTACTTGGGGACCGTATGTCGTAGCCTTTCCCTCATAACGGTAGGAACACCGAATGCAAAACACAGTTGGTACAACGTGAGGGCGTTTAAAGCAAAATAGGAATAAGTGATACTACAGGAGGCGGGGGCCCGAGGGGAGAAAAATGATGGAGGTTTGGGTTTGGGGGTGGCATGGGGTCACCTTTCCTCCCCTCCACCCCCAGACTTAGCTGCAACCCCCTCCCCATCACAGGTCCCGCTGACAACCGCCCCGGGCCACCCAGTAGCCTGCCATTCAAGGCCCTGCAGGGTCCCACAGGCCGCCCACCGAGCTGGCCCCTCTTGGCACGTGGGTGCCCCATCCGTCTCCAGGTCTTTGCCTGTGCTGTTCCCTCCTCCAGGAATGCTGTTCCCCGCGCCCCATCCTCCCCAACCCCCCTTTCCGCGGCTGCGCCCCTACTCTCCGCCCTAACCTGTGCCGCGAGCCCTCCGCACCCCCCCAATCGCGGACCCCCCCGGGGGCCAGACTCCAACTCCCAGAAAGCCCTGCGCTTCCCGTGGGTGCGGCCGGAGCGTCCACTCCCCTTGTTCAGTTTGGGAGGCGTTGGCAATTTTCAAATTTTGGCGCTGAACGGGCGGGGCGGCGGCAGCTGCGGCCAGAACCCCTCCCCACGCCGGAGCCCGAGGCCTGGGCACTCCGCGGGCTCCCCAGGCGCGACACGCGGCGGCGGCGAGGGGTGGCGCTCGGCCCGTTTTCAGGACGGGAAACTGAGGCACGGGGCGATCCGGGGACCTGTCCCGGGAACCCCTGCAGGGGCGGGACGAAGCGGGGTTCGAACCCGCGACCCTCTGATCCCAGGGCGCTAGAAAAGTTAATGGCTAATTGCTGCCTGCTTTGAGGGTGGAGGGTGCGGGCGGTGGGCGAGAAATCACCGAACCCGAGAAGGTCCGGCCAGGCCCTGTCCCCTCTCCCTCCCCCATCCCTTCCCCATTCCCCTATCCCTCCCCCTTTGCGCCGCCGCCCAAGCTCCGCGCCGGAGTTTGGCGCCAGATTTTTCAAAATCTCAGCGAAACGGCTGCCGCTGGCTCCCAGCCCGGATCGCGAGCCTTGATCCTGAATTCCGGCGCCTGGATCTCAGCGACCGCGGATTCTGGAGTCTGGACTGGGTGGGGGAGGGCTCATTCCAGAGCCTGGATCTGGGGGGCTGTGGATTCCAGATCTGGGGGGGCAGAGATTCCAGAGCCTGAATTTTGGGCACCCTGATTCGGGAGCCTGTTTTGGGGAGCTGGGATTCCGGACCCTGGATCTGGAGGGCCCTGATTCCAGAGCCCGGAGGAGGGCGGGTTCTGGAACCCCAATTCCTGAGCCTGGAGGCTAAACCTGGAATCTAGGATCAGAACTCAGGAATCTGGGGCTGGAACCCTGAAATCCCAACTGAAATCTGGGGGCAAGGAGAGAGTTGGGGCCGGAGGGACAGCTGTTTGTTAAATGGGTTCCGGAATAATGAAATCAACAAATATTGGGACTTCCCTGGTGGTCCAGTGGTTAAGACTCCCCGCTTCCACTGCAGAAGGCACGGGTTCGATCCCTAGTCAGGGAAGTTCCAGATGCCCCGTGGTGTGGCCAAAGAAACAAACAAATACTGATTGACATCTCCGCCTGTCAGGCACTGGGGCTGTATCAATGTCCAAAACAAAGATCCCTGGGCTTGGGAAGCTGACAAGGATGAAGTAGGAAGACAGAGGAAACAGATACCTAATGAATAAGTGAATTTTATGGCATGTTAGAATATAATAAGGTGGGGGGGTGGAAAAAGCAGGGTGAGGGGCTTGGGAGCATTTGAGCTAGGGGGTGCTTTTTTTTTTTTTTCGGTACGCGGGCCTCTCACTGCTGTGGCCTCTCCCGTTGCAGAGCACAGGCTCCGGACGCGCAGGCTCAGCGGCCATGGCTCACGGGGGCCCAGCCACTCCGCGGCATGTGGGATCTTCCCAGACCGGGGCACGAACCCATGTCCCCTGCATCGGCAAGCGGACTCTCAACCACTGTGCCATCAGGGAAGCCTGAGGGGGAGTGCATTTTTAAACAGGGTGGGCCTCTTGGAGGAGGTGGCA